TTCTAGGGCTAGGCATACATACTGCACTGCAACCTCTAGTCCCATGCCTCAATATCATGCTGTTGAGGGAGCTGGCATTGCAGACAACATGAGTATTGCTTGCAACTAGGATAGCAAGCAGCAACTTCTTTTACAGAGAAACAACAGCAAACAACCTAAAATGTATCTCAACTCCAAAATAAATATATTCTTAACTCAATTTCCTTTTGCTGGATGCCAAAAATGTGGGCAGCCATGCCAACAACCCCTGACACACATGATCCAAGAGAGGTGTGAGAGAGAAGGCAGAGTGAAAAAGGAAAGTGGCCTGGCTGGTTAGGGCCAGAATGCTGTACTTTGTTAGAGACTACAAATCATTTAACCATGTAAATATATAGCAATGGCGACTCCCAGAATCTTAAAAAGAGACTAATCAAGTGAGGGGCCTTGAAGTATGAGTACTTCAGGGCAAATCCCATCTCAGAGAGGGCTCTGGGGCTGCAGTAAGGAGACAGTTTTATGATATGGTGCAGGCTGTTATGGAAACTCAAAAATAGAAGATAATGGGAGGGGAATGAAAAGAGGTGATATAGAGAATCAGAGGTGTGTGGAGGAGAACTGGAGAAGAAATGAAGGAGGTAGGAGGAAAAAGCATTGGCTGGTGTGACAGTTTTAAAGCAGGGTTTCAATATTCCTTCACATATTTCCCACCTACAGGTAGGGTCTGTATTCCTTCCCTTTGAGTCTAAGCGAGCTCTAGGGTTGTTCTGACCAATAGAACAAGGCACATGTGATGTTATATGACCTCCAAGGTTAGGCCAGAAAAAGTGCAACCTTCCTTTGGTCCTCATAGAAAGCTTGTTGGAGCAGGGATGAGGAGGAGGGGAGCAGGAAGCAGTTGCTATGGAAGAGGTCCAACCACCCTGAGACTGTCTGCTAAGAAAGCCCTTGTTAGTGCTCTGTTTGACAGCCCCCAAGTGCACCCTAACATTCAGCACCAATGGCCAGCCATGTGAAATTTGCACTTTCAACAAGTATTTCTAAATGATTCTAAAGTTATTTAACCTATTAACTAAGTATCAGGGACTAATCCAGCACAGGAGGCAAATAATAACATTGAAGAAATCTACTGGAAAGGTAAAAATATCTCTTGGCAGATGATGTGATTATATATGTAGAAAACCTTAAGGACTTGTCCAATGCAATAGTCTCAGATGATTGCAGCCATAGAGGATATCTGGCTACATCCATGTGAACCACCTGGTGAGAGAAAGTTAGGGTTAAGATCTAAAATGTTCCTGCAAAATCTCATGTGTTCAATAGTGGGGTTTTTGGAAGGTGATTGGATCATGAAGATTCTAACTGCATCACTGGATTAATCTGGGATGATATTGTATTTTGATAGCATTATTGGGAAGTAACAGAAACATAGGAGGTGGGCCTAGTTGAAGGAAATGGGTCCCTTTAAAGCATGACTTTGGGGACTATCTTGGTACCTGACCTCTTCCTTTCTGAGTCTTTTCCTCCTTCTTTGCCCCCTGGATGCCATGAGGTGAAGAGCATTTCTTTGCTATACCCTTGCACCCTGAGATTTCTTCCTTGCCAGAGGCATAAGAGGAGTGGAGTCAGCCAATTGTGGACTGAACCCCTGGAACCATGAGACAAAATAAATCTTTCCTTCCTTAAATTGTTTTTTGCAGACATTTGGTCACAGCAACCAAAATCTGATTTACAGAGAGCCACCAAACTGACTCCTCAAATTCTTGGCCCACAAAATCATGAGAAAAATAAAATGATTGCTTTTTGTGTATGTGGTTGTTTTAAAATACAAAGGGATTTTCAGAACTTTGAGCAAGATAAGAGAGTGCTAGGTTGGAGGAGGGAGCCTCGGGGTGCGAGGCCACACAATACTACCTCCCAGACAAGCTCATTCTTTAGGATGGTGTTATGGTTTGTGTCTAGTTGTCCCCCCAAAGCCTCATGCAGTCATGGGGTGAGGACTTCTAGAGTTTGTGTTAACTCATGATCCACTGGGATTATGTGTGATCCAAGGCTGGGATTATGGGTCTTAATACTGCTGGGATTATCCATAGGTGGGTAAGTACTGGGGAGTACCCATAGGTGTGAGTACTTCCCCTACCCTGGGGCAGGTAATTTGCATTACAATGTAAGGTGGGAAGAGAAGCTAGCTGCTTGAGCTGCTGCCACCCCTCCCTTGCACTCTTGCTCTTTGCCGCTGCCATGAAAGGTTGCCCCCTGCTATGTGCTGCTCTGCGTTGGACCCAGCTGAGTATGGACTGAAACCTCCAGTAACTGTGAGCTAAATAAACCTTTCCTTCCTTCATTTTGAGTGTCGGGTATTTGTCCCAGCAACGAGAGAAGAGTAACTAAGACAGATGGCATAAGTAAAGATGCTCTGAAGAGAGGCTGAGATGGACTTGCCATTAATGTCACTGGTATCATCTCTCAGTTTCCCTGTTTTTGAAAAGGGTTACCTTGAGCCAGGTATGGTAGCCCACACCTGTAATTCCAGCACTTGGGAGGCTGAGGCAAGAAGATCACAGGGAGTTCAAGGCTAGCCTGGCCTACATAATGAATTCAAGACCAGCCTTAGCTAGATCAAGAGCCCTTGTCTCAAAAGACATAAGAAAATAGACTAGGTAAACTGATTACTATTTCTGGAAATACTATTAATAAACATTACATTATAGTCATTCTGGAGGGGGTGATTGCTTAAAATGTGAGTCTTCCCAATCTGGTAAATTCTTGTCTCTAGGCATACAGCCCAGAAGTTTGCATTTCCAACAAGTATTTCCAAGTAATTCGAAAGTTATTTAACCTATTGGCTGAGTATTATTTAAGGATGAATCCAGCAGAGGAGGCAACGAAAAATATTGAAGAAATCAAGTGGAAAGGTAAAAGTATCTCTTGGCAGATGACATGATTACATATGTAGAAAACCTTAAGGACTTTGTACAAAAAAAAAAATTGTTAAAGATCTACAAGGTGCTGTACATAGTTTCAGGGTAAATCCTGAGGAGATTTGACTGACCTTGTCAGATACAAAAGTTACATTTTTAGTTATATAGGTCTTGCTTTAACTTGGTCTTAACCACCCAGCAGAAAAGTATAGCCACGAGGTATAAAAAATAATGCCA